GACGCCCTCCCCCCACTTCCCTGGTGGCCTTTGCTTCCATCGTGGAGGAGGAGCGACAGCAGGAAGCGGCGCTAATCCGCAGTCGAGAGAAACCGCTGGCGCTCATCCAGGTAGTGCGGCTTTGCCTGTGTGTGGTAGAGCTTTCTTTGACTGACACAGATCGACATGTGCCATGACACACAGCAGACACGGTTGAAGAAAAGGTTCCTCACGTTATTCTAGCCAGCCTTCTTTCATCACCTTGCTAAGTCTCTTTTCCCCCAATGACTCTATGGTTTACATCATCAATAACATGTGCAACGAACTCCCGTTTTATCACGAGGGATACGTTCCGGACCCACGATAGGTGAAAATCACCAATATCGAGACACTTTTTTTCAAATGCGGTTTTACTGCTCCCTATAAACACGTACATGAAGACTTCTAAAAACACTTTTTTCCCACAAATTCGTCATTACTGTTCACATGCTCTCACTTAAGACAAATAAGAAGCAAAGTCTGCTTCCATCAAGCTGCATATTTGTCACTCTAAAACAGACACATCAAACGAAAAGCTTAAACTTTGTATACTGTATTTTCCACACTAAAAGGTGCACTGGATTCAGTCTCTTTTCCCCCAATGGCTCTATGGTTTACATCATCAATAACACATGCAACGAACTCCCGTTTTATCACGAGGGATACGTTCCAGACCCACGATAGGTGAAAATCACCAATATCAAGACACTTTTTTTCAAATGCGGTTTTACTGCTCCCCATAAACACGTACATGAAGACTTCTAAAAACACTTTTTTTTCCCACAAATTCGTCATTACTGTTCACATGCTCTCACTTAAGACAAATAAGAAGCAAAGTCTGCTTCCATCAAGCTGCATATTTGTCACTCTAAAACAGACACATCAAACGAAAAGCTTAAACTTTGTATACTGTATTTTCCACACTAAAAGGTGCACTGGATTATGAGGCGCACCCTTAATGAATGGCCAATTTTGAATTTTTTTTCATATATTGAACGCACCGCATTATAAGACGCAATCTACAATGCATCCACTTGATGGAGCTACGCTCAAGGAAATTCCAACAGAACACTACACTACACTCTGATTTATATAGCGACGATCAGATGTCAGTAAAACCTATTTAATAAAGCAGTGACACAGTTCACTTAACCAACAGCAAGTTATAACATTGACTCGTTAACGTTGAACTCTCTTGCCGCTGCTCTATTTCCGTGTTCAACTGTGAAACCGATCGCCTTAAGTTTGAACTCTGCGTTATAAGCATGTCTCTAGCAAGGAGCCATTTTTGGGGTTGACATATTACCGTAATGACCATACACAAGGCGCATCGGATTTTAAGGCGCTGTGAGCTTTTAAGAAAATGGGAGGCTTTTAGGTGCGCCTTTTAGGTGCGCCTTTTAGTGCGGAAAATACGGTATTTAAACGGCCAAACGTGTACCCAAAGCATAGAATGTCATTTCATGTCAGTCTGCCAGCTATAATTCAGGGACAATGAGCTGTGATGAAGTAGGGTTTGGTGTACATTGCCTTCATGTCCTTTTGTGGCAGACCATTTTATGACCACAGTTGGTTGGAAAAATGCTGAAAAAAGTTTTGCTGTTGCCAGCCTTCTTTCATCACCTTCCTAAAACCCCCACCACGACTCTGTTTGTCCTCATGAAAAACATTTATCATCATCCATCTTATCCTGTCGGCAGGGTTTTGTTTTTTTCACCCTCAGAGGGTTTGGATCTGCTTTCCTCAAATATGCCTCCTTTCCCTGACTTTCTTCTCTTCTCTGTGTAGATTGAAGAGAGGGCTATTCAAGACCTTCTGTTCCATTACAAGGCCTATGACAACCCTGATGAGCTGATCTTGGTGGAGAGGGCCTCCTCGCGTCCCATGGCAGCTCCAATATGGAACAAACACTGATGACTCGCCACAACATCGCAGTAAAGTGAGACGATTGTTGGCGGTGTGCCCTTACGGTGTGCTCATCGATTACAACTTTATGCTTCTTATTGCAGTTGTACTTTAAGTTGTCCTCATTCTCTGCATTGTGTTGTTAATGGGTGTCACAGGGTGAATGTACTCCATAAGAAGAAAATGTAGTCCGTCTGAGGCCTTAGAGCATGAACCTTTTTTTTAAAAGTTGCTCACATGGCTTAAGTTAATGCTTCCCAATTGTTGTTGTAACGTGATGTTGCCAAAGAAACGAAATTGAGATGGAGACACACACAGAGGGTGCACAGTGCAGTGTGAGTTTGATTCGTTGGAAGTTCTTCATAATCTTGAGAAAGTTTGGAGTGCCGACTAGACCTAGAAAATTGACTGCGTTTCAGCTGATTGATTTGCACAGACGTTATGATGTCATTTGGCATCAATTGATACAAAAGTGGAGTGAATCAACATTCTGTCAATCTTCCAATCCATGGTTTGGTGTGTTGTAGTGACATAATAAATCTTTTGCAGGGTGGATTTTCTTTGCAAGAAAATGTTTGTTATCAATCTAAATCAGATGTAACAAGGAACTGTTACATTTATTTTCTGTCCTGATTTACATATTTGACTTTTTTTTTCAGCCAACAAAGGCAACGTAGGTACCTCAGTTAGACCGCGTGACATTAAGTTTGTGTGATTGGGTTGTCTTGGTATTAAAAAGACTTTACGATGAGAAACAGCAGGCAATAAAGTATCATACCTGTGCAATGACTCAGTAAAGTGTGTGTGTATGTGTAATTTATACAGCAGCAGGCTGAGCGAAGTGTGTATGTGTAATTTATACAGCAGCAGGCTGAGCAAAAACTGTGACGTCTTTAATGTCCTTACTTGTTTCCTAACCTTGATCCTCTTTGGCGTAGAATCTCTCTGACTAACTAAAAAATGGTAGCCTCCTGACACGCTGGCTTGCCTGCATGAGCCACAAACAATTTGCACATCTCGGCCTCTAATTGACTGCGATGACCCCGATCCGAACCTTAGCGTGCGGTAATTGACCGGTTTAGCTGAGCGTAATTACAGCTAAAACATCACATCACAAGTCAGGGAAGAGAGTGCTTGTGAGGGAAATATTAATTACTCATTAGTGTCTGATTAGCTGGAGTATTTTTTTTCATCATGCCACTCTAGCAGGTTATTAGGAATCAAACTGACATGCAGTGGAATGATGAGTATCAATGGTAGATGTAGAAGAAAACTGTTTGAGAAATAATAAACTGCCCAGTCCCCATCAATTCTGCATAACTTTTATTTGTTTGGTTTATTTTTGAAAGGAAAATTATAATAAAGGTGTATTTCAACCCGTAGTCCCAGTGGAGGAAATCCCATCAAACTCCACCCTGGAAATTCTTATTTATAGGCTGGAATAATGAAGGTGTCCAGCTGTCAAAGGTAACTCGCCTTTTATTGTTGAGGGTGTGCCGATCTATTAAATGTGGTTGATTTGAGGACAGTGCATGCAATCTGTCAGTCGGGAGATGGGGGAGGACAGACCTTGGCCATATTTCCAGCCAGCCAGATGGAAAAGTTGTGAGGGTGTCCTCCAAACTGTTAGCATGAAGTCCTGCATTATTTATGGACAAAAGGGTATGTTCCATACATTCAATGCAATAACTTCCTACCTGCTGAATAGTGGCAAGCACATGCCCAAATGAGTGAACTCAAAATTCGCATTCGTCCTGTCTGACTCTATGGATTTATAAACTTTAAATTATATTTATGCTGTAGTGACACAATTCAGAATGCAGAGGAAATGAATAAATGGAAAATTCAGTTTAACTCAATAAAATCATGCGTCTGCTGCCAGAATTTTACAGAAGCTACGGGGCTGGACTTGGGCCACTTGCCTGGGCCAAAAAAAAAAAAAATCCATTACATCTGGAAGATTGCAAAAGAACTGTGTGCCAGAAGACAATTGTAATACTCCTCCAGTACTTACGTGTTTTTTTATATCTTTGATACAGTATGTATACAGTGTATTTTTTATTTCATTTCATTGTTAGCATGAATTAAGTGTTCATTTAAAGTGACAGTAGTAACAGTTTTTATTCGAATGACAGTCAGGTAGTTGCCTTTCAAATGTTTTTGCTGCAGTGGGAGGGCTTTGCCTTTTTTTTTTTTTTTTTACTTCTACTCCATGTGTACTGTGGACATTTAAAATATGAAAACTTAATTTTTGTTCATACAACCCCACAACTTAAATGTTAAACTAATTTTGAGCATCTGCAGCATCGATATGCACTCATAGTTTTGTGGTATATGATGCTACAGCTAATAATAATAATAATGACATTAATACCAATACCCATACTTTGTATGGACAAGATGTATTATTTTTTTGTCAAGAAAAGTCTGCCAATGTATGAAAACATCTACCTTGTATTTCTACTCCTTGCGGTATCATTTTAGTTTTAAGTGATGAGAACAGAATATTGCTTTTCAACAAGCAAGCCATTTGCTTTGAAGGTGGTTCTAAAATAAACAGGGACCCTTTTATGAGAAGAAACGCGACACCTGTGGAGAAAGGGCACTTTTTCCGCTGGATAGTGCATGAAAGAAGCTCCCTCGGCTGATTAGTCTGAGATTTAGAGCCTGAAATACATTAAATGGAAACAGTCTATTGTCTTGTATGCTTTTTTAATTTGAATTTTCAGATGAAATGAAAGCCAAAGGTATACTCGACTGAAATTAACAATATATATATGGATTTTTGTTTTTCTACCTTGGCAGTTGCAAATGATTGCAGTAAATAACGATGCATAAATATAGGGCAGGGGTCACCAACCTTTATTTTAAGCTGAGAGTTAGTTTGTTCAAATTACCTTTAATAATATTACTGTTCTATTAATAATAAATGAAATTAAGTTATGAGAAGACACTAATCAAGTAAATGATTTCTCACAATAATATTACTGGTTACATTAATCGTCATAAGGTCTAACATTTCGCCTTCAGTGGTGGCCTGAGTGAAGTTGTGCCGGTTTATATATATGAGGACAACTTGCCATGATTATTTACAGCAAATGTAACATGACAAAAGTTAATCGGCGACGAGGAGTGGTTGAGTGTGATGTGCCCGGAAATAGACCAGCTGTTTGGGGAAAATCAGATTTTGCCGATGGCCAGCAAGCCCCTTTCCCATTTGCATAAAAAAGCAGGGAGAAGCGCTTGAACTAGTCTTAATAGGCTTCCTGATGTGTTTTTCAGCACATTAATTTAGCCTGTGAAGGCTAAATCTAAAGAGGTTTAAAGTGAAGAAAAGTTTTTTTCATCAGTTTGTTTTTATTCTCTAGTAAGGAATCATATTTGCTTTGGCCAATCTGTCCTTATGTGGTAAACGACTACGGCACATGTCCTGTATGAACGTGCAATATGGACAAAATACATGTGTAAAACCACAAGCAATAAAACAAAAATATATTCTCCAAAAACCAGTTTATAAAGAAAAAAAATGCAGAATACAGTACATGTTTATGTACAAAATACAGTATCAAGACTAGTAACAAAATGCAAAAACATCCAAATAATGTTTATAAAATAACATAAATACAGTACAGTGCTTAACTACAGTATACTGTATTGTATTTTAATGTTGATTTTTCTCCACCGTGGGACAAAATCATTCTATTTTGAATTGTGTTGGCTTCATTCTTTGCTGTATGAAAATGTTTGCCTGAATTTTGTACTGGATCTGGTCAGAAACAACAGTTTTACCTGTTTGTTCATTAAATCTATCCACCTATCCATCCATTTTCTAATCAGATTATCCTCACGACTGCATTAAACCTGCAAAAAATAAACAAATAAATAAATAAAATAAATAGATAAATAAATAAATGGTGTTGTTGTGGTCCACTCACCTGACTCGTTGTGTTCAGTGACAGTGAAGATGTGGGTGTGAATATTTGATTATCTCTATATTTGCCCTGTGACTGACTGGCAACCAGTTCAGTGTGTAGCCTGCCCGTTCCTCAAAGTCAGATGGGATAGGCTCAAGCAACCCCCGCAACCTTGTTCAGGATAAGCGACGTTAAAAATGTGTGTGTGTCTGTCTGTCTGTCTGTCTGTCTGTCTGTCTGTATCTATACCTATACCTATATATATATCTAGAGAGAGAGAGAGAGAGAGAAAGATTTCCAGGTAGCTGAATTCAGTGAGTATGTGTGCACAGCAGATTCCAAACTGAAGTACCATATTTACAGCATATCTGTAAAATTTAGTAGTCCCTAAAGTGCCTCGCCAGAATGTAACTTCACTGCCAACGGATCCGCAGGTTGGGATTGGGGTATACAAAGGCCCTTTAATAAGGCAGATTAAGTGAGATGGTCCTCCCTATCTCCCTTGTGAAACAAGATCTACTTCGTAACCTTTCGCTTTAATCTGCAAGAAGAACATGGAACCAAACACATCACACACTGTCCCTCTGGGATCAAACACAACTGAATTAACGGATCCGCTTTGTTGGACTGATTACTGCTGCTTCTCCTCTCCAGAGACCCTCACACAGCCCCATTTGACATTTTCTTGACAGGATCGATCCTGCAGATATTTTTTTAACGGTTATGTCCGAAGCATTTTGATTGAAAAGAAGGAAGGAAATGACATTATTGTCAATCATGAGTCTGGTACACAAGCTCAGCCAAAAGTGTTGTCTGCAGCACACGGAAAACTAAGGCCAAACTAACTGTCCTCTGGAATTCCACTTACCTCCACGAAGGGAGATTGAAGAGGCACTGGAGGCGACATAAATGAGCGGATCTTTGTTTTCTAGTCCTGCAGTCAGTCATATTTTATCATGAGTTTGTCACCTTTAGTGGGGCCCTGGACACTATACAGCCATTTCTGTGTATGTGTGTGTGTGTTTTGTTTTTTTTTTAAACCAGATATAACATGCAGGTAGTAGATATTATTCACTTTGGGTCAAATCATGCACC